CACGGGGGGCTCCCCTGCACTTGGGGCAGTGCCCCCCAGGCTCCCTGGAGAGCCCAACACGGTATAAATCAAACCTACAAACCCACACTTTGCAAAACTATGCCCACATTGTAATTATCAACTAAGCTGTTAATGAACGGGTTGCTTGGTTGTTTCCAAGAATGATCAGTGCTTGAAGGTAACATTAATCTGTCTCAGCAGTGGGAGCAGCTCAGAAAGGCCTTGGCCAATGCTCTGCACAGCTTTAAGCACATCTTCCCTCTGCTGGCACTGCTTTTCCTATGAAAGCAGGACCATGAAGCCATTACCAGTCCCACACACAACTTATTCTGCTTCCCACCAAGTCACTAAGTAACAGATCCCAAACCCAACCAGCAGATAACTGCCAGTACCATTTTGGACATCGTTGTAGCTATTGCCCTCCAGATACTCTGCCCTGTATTTCTGCAAAAGGCACTTTTACACCTTTTGTGGGTTTTAGGGATGTGTCTGTGAAGACAAACATGGACAACACAAGATGATAGTAGGGATGAAAATGGGATTTCTTTTTGAGGGACTTTGTAAATGCAGATCAAAGAACCTGACAGAACAAGCTCCATGCCACTTCCAAATTAAGTGCAAGTCTGCAAAACATCTCAATTCCTATCACCCTGATATGCAGTACTGAATTTAGTTTGATGTAACGTGAAAGTGGGTATATCACCTAAAGCAAAAATATATACTGGGCTTCTAACAACCATATTGACAGCCAAGGAAGGTTTCACTGATAGAAGTCACTTTAGAAATTCCAAGGAGAGCTCTGGAGCATCACCACCTCACAGCTGAGTCAGTACTAACAGGCACATGGGTATATGACCTAAAGGAAAAGGGCTTCTAACAACCATATTGACAGCCAAGGAAGGTTTCACTGATAGAAGTCACACTAGAAATTCCAAGGAGAGCTCTGGAGCATCACCACCTCAAAGCTGAGTCAGTACTAACAGGCACAGTGCATGAAACCACAGCCTTCCACTGCAACAGTTCTCACAGTCTCATTCAGAAAACATCTGTGGCAATATTTAAATCAATCACCAGCCTTTCAAGAAAACACTTGATCCAAAAAGATTTGAAAGGTGCCATGCAAGTATGCCTACATCCTAGCATAAAACACTTCACTGATGAAAATGAACATGAGCAAAACAACCGAAACATCCAAGAATCCAGAGACAGAGGACAGTAACAGCACAGGTACAGGACGGAAAGGGGGAGATGACAGCTTGGAAGCACACAGCTAATTTACTAATTCTTCACTCCTAATTCAGGATTTAAGTACCAAAACCTAAACCATCCACATGGGTAGGGGATACTCATTACCAGCAAGATCCAGCATTTATGAGAAATTGCTGGCTTATGTTTGATGTTATAAGAACCAGTGTGGGTTTCCATAAAAGACTTTGTTTTATTCCAATAGAAATAAAAAAGTTACTGGAAGGACATTCTTCCCCTCCCACATACTTGCATTTCAAATCTTGCAGCATTGTGCTAGGGCACGATCAGAAATCATTCCAGCTGAGCAGAACAATTGCTTTAATCATAGTTATTGTAACCTACCTCAAAGTTAAATATAATTATTAAAATTTAAAGAAAGCAGCAACTCAAACCCCTCAGGTATTCTAAGGTGCACAAGGACAATGGCTTGACGCTTGATTACACACAGGGAGGCTGTTGTTTGCACTTATATCAGCACCTGGATGAAACACTTCTGGTTTATGCTCAAGCTAGACAGCTGTGATGATGGCTGGCAGGAAGAAAATGTTCTTTTCCTGCAGTATGAGAAATATCTCACCTCCTGCTGTCAAACAACACAATCCTGGCAGTCCCTAAAACTCATTAGTAAGTCTAAACGACTAGATTGTCACTGGATCTCTTTTTGCATCACCACTGGGATCCAGCTTTTTAATAATAATTCTTCATCAGAACAGGTGGAGGAAATGGATTTTAACATCCTCCTTTTCCTGTATTTTGAAGCCCCTCTAAGCCAGCACAACTCTACAGAAGATAAGAGCTAACCCAGCTCGTACCAAATGAAGCTCTGGAGCAGCAGATGCACATGTCCCAAACAGAGCCACAAAATGCAGAAGATCAGAAGGTGCTGAGGAGAACATCAGTGGAGGTATAGCTGTATAAATCTCAAGGAAAATCTATCTGGAAAAAGTTCATCAACTTGTGTGCAGCTGCCACTCTGCATTGGCATCACTGTACTGGAGGAGCAGCTGGGCGCTGTGCAAACCAGTGCTTTATCTCAGCTGGCACCAAGGCTTTCAACCCAAACAGAAGGCAACTGCCAAGAGTGCTGAATGGCCTGAGAACAGCCCCAGCCCCACTCCTTAACGAGTCCAACACCGACTGCTGTCTCCTGTTTTCTCCTGCCATGGAGGAAGGATCAGACAATCCGGGGTGGCAGCTGACAGCTCCTGCCAGCAGCACGGGCACCGCGCACGGCTCCCGGGGGCCCGTCACCACCGCAGGGTACTCAGCTGCAGGGGACTGATGCTCCACTGAGCCCTGACCCAGCTCCTCAGGAGAGCTGAACACACCTCCGACTCAGTCTTAAAATGAGCTGAAAGCACCCTGCATGCCAGCACTGGAATCATTAACAGAAAGCCTGTCCCTGATTGGGGCAGAGCTGGTTTGGAGGTGGGGGTGCTGTGTCCCTGGGACACAGCCGTGGTGACATGCCATGCCTTTGTTCTCCTAACATCAAGGCCCGAGGAAATGGGTGTTAAGCATTAGCCAGACAGAGGCAGCTGACCCTATCTATTTAGATACTAAGCAGGAGACTTGGGAGTTGGAATTCTTCTGTTCTGGCTGCTGGAGCTTAATCACAGTGTGCAAGCAGAGACAAAGGGCACACTGCAAACCAGGGGGAGCACTGAACCTGGTTATGGCACATTCCCTAAACGATGCCAGAGATCCAGCAGCATTTCCTGACACATGGACTTTTCAGATCTCCCAGTACAGGACACAACAGAAAGCCCAACTTTTACTTCCTCAGTATTATTATGTTTACCATGATCCCATAAATATTTCATCAAGTTTAAGGGTAAGGTGAAGGCATATGATCTACACCTTGTACATATTCCTTCATACTTCCATGGCAGTGAGGGAGTTCATTATCATTTTTTATCTTTATCATTACCTGTTGTTTTAACACTGGCTGCAGGCATATTAAAGAACCAGTTACCCTGACTTTGAAGGCAGCTATAGTGTTCACACCTCCCACCACCTGCAACAAGGGACTTCTGCAGGTATGAGTCAGCTGCCAAGAAAGCTCCATCTCCTGCTCTCTAGAGTTTCAGCCTCAGCAATGCACAGCACACTGCTTCACTCTCCCTCTGTGACCTTCAGCTGGAACAGTTAACCAATGTGCTGTACTTCAGTGTAACTCCAGCCCTTCATGTGTCTCTTCCCACAGAATTTGCAGCACCAAGATCAGATCAAAGGAACCAAGCATCACCTTTTACACTAATATTTTGTCACCTCCAAAGTCAGAGTAATTTCAGCTTCCTTGTTAAAGAAATCTCACATAAAGTGTGAGGCAATGGATGCTGGACAGGAATAAAGTTAAACCTTTCTGCTCCTGTTGTGTATCTGCTGTCCCTGCCAGAGGTGTCTACACTATCTGACCACCTGAACAGAGCCTTGCAGTTCTGAGGACTTGCCTGTTTTTTCTCAGGGATACCAGCAGGTCTAATTAAAACCCTTGCCTTGCAGAGCAGTGCATCTTGGGAGCAGTGTCTGATGTCATGTCCTCTACAAACAGCAAAACTCACAGTCTCTTCAAAAAGATTTTGAAGTATGACAGCCAGCGGAGGCAGGGAAATGTCCAGGGTGTGAGTGGCCTCAATCAGTCCATCCTCATCTCCCCAAGGGCCCCCACGGGGGAAAAAGAAAGATTTCTGTCTCAAGCAGTGTGGGTAGCTCCCCAAGTCTTCCTGATTCCACGTGAGTGCGTCAGACTTGTCAGGCTGAAGAGCAGAAGTGGCAGGTGAACAGTCTGGCCTCTGAGCCCTTCACAGAGGAATCTCTTCAGCCCTGACATGTGAACCACACGGCACCGCTACTTCTGGAAAGAGAAGAGATTCCTCTAGACAGCAATTACAGAGCAAAGTTTTCTCATTTGTGCCTTGAACCAGCTTGAGATTATATAACCTTTTTTGGGCAGAAATATTATTTCTTTCCAGTAATTTCTCTTAAATTGTTACATAGGGAGCTTTTGGTGACTAAGAAATCACCCCCAATTTTTACATGTTATCAGGGCTTTCATTGACACAAGAACAAGACTGAACATACACCAGCACACTGGGGAGATCAACCCTCTCTCCTAAAACACTCCCCCGGAGCTAGATGGGTTTTTAAAATACACAGGGGAAATGACAGAACCAACTCTTGATTTACACATGCTGTAACAACAAGAGTATTTGCAGCAAGAGTAATTTGGAAATAAAAAATTTACCTAATTGTATGAAATGCTGGGGGATAGGTCTGGAAACCAGTGGCACATTCTTTGCCACTAGAGACACAGTCAATCTATAGCAGAGATGAAAAGTTCGTTCATGTATCTTTATTTTTTGGCAGTGAATGCAGTGTTGTCACGTTTGGGAGGGCTGAGTGATGCATACTACAGCCCACCTAAAGTAACAGAAGGCAGCTTCCAGTTCTTTATGCTCACTGGCCTTGCAAGTGCCAGGGCCAGGGATTAGTGGGCCCAGAGATTCCACTTCATGTTCTACACGGGACGTGGAAGCTGAGCACAAGTGCAAAATACACTTTTCATTTCACAGGTTCCCTGAAAAGCACTAAGTCAAGAAGGGGAAAAAAGGGAGGAGGAGGCAAGTTCACAGCCCACTTTGGGACTCCCCTGAGCACAGCTGACTCCTCCCCTCCTAGCCACCTATCTACATGCCACCACATCCAGCCAGGGACCTCGGTGTGCAGAGCAGCTGCAAGCTGCCCTCAGGATGAGAGCAAGGCAGCTGCTGTGTGGAATCTGGAGTCTGTGTTTCATGTTCTGCCTTTTCTGCATCTTTCTTCACCAAACGACAGCTAAAAGAAAACTGAAGTTTGTGTCCATAGTAAGTACACAATTTGTGGGCAAATGGAATTTCTTCAGAACCTGTCACTGGCTGCCCTGCTGGTACTCTAGGAGAGGAGGGAGGGGGCACTTTTTGAATGTTTGTTTCCTGCATATCCAAAATTCATTGTTGCATTGTAGGAAAAAAAACTCAATTTTAAGTAAGATTTTATAATTTTGTCTCCTTTGTGCAGTCCTAAATGAACTTAACTTCCTGGATTAACAAAGAATGCTTTTTTTCTGTAACCAAGAGAGGAATGACCTAAGACTCTTCTTTCAATTGAAAAGAGGATTTCATAGCTAAATATCAAGTGTACAAAACCCCTCTTTACCATGGAAGAGTTTCCATTTTTCCAGTGGTTTCAATGGATTAAGGTGCAAAACACATTTCATTATGTGAAACCCAAACAGGTGTGCAATGGCACTGAATAAGCAGCATGGAACCAGTGCTGTGACACTGATGCTATTTGCAGTGATTTTGACATACCTTTTGTTTGCAGGCAGCTCAAATATTGTTCTGAAAATCACACATGCTTGTAGATCATTGATAGACTTTTTCTGCTGCAGTCTTTGATTCTATTTCTCCCTGCTTGGATAAGGAATAAAAAGATTCTTAGATTAAGTAATTAAAAAATCTTGTGGTAAAAAATTTAAACTACATGATACATACCTACAGGAATGTGTAGCAACTGTATTGGTTTTTTTCCTTCTGAATGCCCAGTTAGTCTTATCAAAATATTAATGTTCTACTGTTTCTGCAAAACTACTTGCATGCCTCTTTCTTTTCTGTTTATTTAGTGTTGTGGTCTATACCTCCTGAAATATATAAAACCTCTTTAAAACAAAATATTTCAGTTTTTGTAACTTGCAAAAACTTATTTGACCTAATTACTTTTGAAATATCAGGGAAAAAAAGAGCTTGTCTATTTTATTTATTTGTCTAAATAAATCCAACTGGTACTGTAGCTATCCAGGCCCAAGAAAAGCAGCATGAACAGATGTAACACCTGCCAGATGCTGAACTGACTGCCAGTGCACGTTCCTCGTGACTGTGCCAGTCATACCCACCACAAAGAGCCCAGTAACACAACAGGACTCCCCCTGTTCCATCAGGTGTTTCGCCATGGAGATCACACCCCACAGGAGCTTTTCCCAGCAGCCAAGCACAAGGCAGCTGCATGGCAGCAGGGGTATGGACAGCTCACCAAGGTGGGTTTGCTTACCTGGGCAGACCGAGACACGGGGATGTGGCCTCTTGATGCCTGGGGTTTGGAACCTTGTTCTCACCTGGGGAGAGCCCAGATTAAGTTGCCATATACAGCTCTTCAACAGGACAGCCAAAGAACCTACTAGGAAGCTGCAGCTATGAGCAGTCACTGATTTTAAGTGGCAGTGAGTCAGCCTGTTCTGGTCCAACAGCAGCCTATGCTGGCAGAAGCCTAGGCCTAGCTGAATATATATTTCAATATATAAATTGAATATATTTCAATTTAGGCCAGCAAACACCAGGTACAAGTAAAAGATGACAATACTGAGACCATTACAGGATCACTGCACGTGATTCCTGTGTCATGTGTTTAAAAATCATGTAAGTTGGAAAATGTTTGGCAAAGAGCTACTAAAATGCTGAGGCTGGAAAACCCATTCTGCTGTGAGAGTGGAGAATTGTCATCTACTAACACAGAGATAAGTGACTCAATTCCAGCTTACAAGTGTTATCTTACAGGGAATAAGGTCTGTGATGGTAAAGAATGTGTCATTCAAAAGTCTAAGAAGATCCAGTGGCTAAAAGCTGGGGGCATAGTCAGGCAAGAACCAAGAATCACATGTTTCAGGCTCTTGAAAATAATAACATTGCAGCAAAATACCTGAGGGCTTGGAGGACTGTCACTTGAAGAGTTCTAGTTAAGATTTTCTGTCTCCCTGAAGAATAAGATCTTGCTCCAGCTAAAACTGCAGGCTCCAGAGGAGACAGATGATGCTGGGACATCTCCCTGGTGATTTAAGTCCCCCTGCCCCCTGGTAAACACACACGAGGCTTCCCGAGGAGAGCTGCAACGTCAGGAAGACATATCTAATATTATCCAATACTTTAAATGCAGCAACTTCACTGTTTTTTTCCCCTGTCTTCTTCCCTCTTTCACTTTAGAAAGGAAAGAGGTCTTTATCAAACCAGTATGAGATATTATCTGCTTTTCTGGCTGCAGGAATGGATGCACAGCACCCTTCCTGAGCCTCTCACACTGCTCTGTTGCTTCCACAGCTGGGCACACAGCAGCAGTACGAGCTCGGGCAGTACCTGCGGAGGAGATACTCCTTCTTCCTGAGTGCTGTGTACAGGCAGTGGGAGGCAAGTCCCGGGGCCGGGAGGAGGGTGTGCTCCGGGGGTCCGTGGCACCGCCCACCCGCAGGAGAGCCGGAACCCGCTGCGGCTGGGAAAGGCAGCCAAGCTGGGAAAGGCAGCCGCTGAACTCGGTGTCACTTCAGAGTACCCCTGAAAGTGTGGCTCAACTCCTGTGCCAGCTGAAGGTTGCTGCGAACCACGTGGGAGGCTCTGGGTGTCCCAGTGGGGCAGGGCAGGGCAGCGGGGCCGCGGTCCCCAGGGCCAGCTCCTCGGTGCTCACCCCAGAGCCCGGGTCTCTCGTGGAGCTGGCCTTACGTCCTGCACTTGGGCTCCATGGGGAAAGGCTTCCACACTCCTGTTCCAGCTTCACTCTGTCTCCTTTCTCACCTTCTTCTTCATCCCACTCTCTTTTAATGGCAGCTTCCTCAGCACAGCACCAGTCCCCTTCTTTCCTACCAAGAGAAAAAAAAAAGCCTAACAGGAGAAATTACCTTCCAAAATGACTTCTTTTTTCTTGCTTCAGATCTATGTTCAAAGCACTGACTGTGATCACACACTGATGAGTGCTCAGGCAACTCTTGCTGGGCTGTACCCACCAACACAGGGCCAGATCTGGAACCCCAGAGTCCTCTGGCAGCCAATTCCAGTGCACACCGTGCCACTGGCACATGACAATGTGAGTATGAACCAGGGGCACTTGCTTTTCCTTAATCATTGGTAAAACACATACCATATGAGATGAAGGGGCAGGAAAAAGGGCAAAAAGCATATTAGAGGAAAACACCAAGAATATCTCAATGTCAAATTTTGGTTTAACTTTTTTGTTTTAAATTTAACATAAAAACTTCCAAACAAGAATAAGATCTGTGTAGCTGAGATAAAGGCACTAACAAGTTCTCAAGTTATCCCAGTCACATATAAACTTTAACCTTCACACATCTTGAATAAATGAAAGACAAAACTAAGTTATAGAGACTTCCCAAGATTTTATGATTTAGCTGAAATTAATGAAGCTGTAGTAAGCCTGCTTCACACAGCTGAGCATGCACAAAGGCTGCTGCTCAGTAATTTGCTGCAGAAAGGTGAGGCTGTGTTTAAAGAAGAGTGACCAGAGGAGTGAAATCATCCGTGGGGAAGCCAAGCACAGAGCAGTCCAGGAGGGTTTGTGTTAAGTCCTCCATCAAAGAACAAACTTTGCCTTGTGTAAATGAATCCTTTAACTTTGAACTACTTGGGCTATTACTACTCTGAACATTTAAAGATTATTTTGTAAGTAGTCATCAGTGTGACTCTTACAGTCCTGAAGATGAATATCCCTGAAAACTACATTCCCAAATTATTTTTCATCTTGTCCTAACTAGTGCAGCCAATCAGACTGACAACCCTGCAAGGGTACATGGCATTGCAGAACAAGAAGCATGTTACCTAACTAGAGTTTTGCAATTTTCTTTTCAGTTGCTATACTTGCCTTTCTCACACTGCCCAAAATACAAGGAGCTTCTGAGAGAAACCTTTGCAACACGGGATTTCCAGAGGCAACTCAAGCAGTACAGGGTAAAGTATTTTCTGTTCTGGAACTCTCATTAAAATGTACCACTTCTGTCAAGATTATCTAACAGGTAGGTGTAGAAATTGCCAGTCAATATGCTCCTTCCAGATCTCTGATCTTCACAGTGGCTGTAGACAACATACCCCCAAAAAATTACAAAATTATAGATCCAGCTGGACTGGGCTATACCCATCAACTGAAAATTACAAGTCATAGAAAAGATAAATTATTCACTACCTTGCAAAAAAACAGTCCACCTACTTTGTAGCAGAGCAGACAAAACAAAAACTCAGATAAAAATCAGTGCAATACCTCACAAACCACTCCAGTACCTCTCTCTGTTCACTCCCATGTAAAGCAACTCCTCTGACATCTCTATCTCACTCTCTGCTAGTTCAGATTCCTCTTCCAGGACAACCACAGATTGCTCACAGCTCAGTTCCCCAGATTTTCTCTAACAGCCTCAGTGCTCCCCTCAAGTATCTGTTCACGTTCTACACCCAAAGTCCCCATTCAGGTGCTCACTCCTGTTCTGTTCTTGCTGCTGTAAGGTGTCCCTTCCTTCCTTTCTCCACCATGAAATCTTTGCCTTTAATTATGTCATCACTTGTCTATTCTGCTGCAATCTTCTTCACAGGTTTATTCAAATTGACACTGTCAAGCTCACCTGGTTTGCTGCATCTGTAACTGGTGACCTCAGCCATCTATCTGCAGCTCTGCATCTGGGTGTTATATGGGAGTGAATCATAACTCCCAGCTTCATCAGACTTACCTCACGCCTCCCTTCTGCTCAGTGCCAGCATCAGAAAAACTCTTTATCACATTTCCTTTAAGTACTTTTTGGATTTCTGCCAGAGTTTCTCATGTCCCTCTGTCCCCTCACCCCCTTTCTGAACATTTCCACCAAGCATAAACCACCACTGCACTTGCAATCTGAACTCAGATGACCAGCCCTGTCTAGATGAACAGGCCAAATCCTCTCAGCACTGGGCAGCAGTTCATTGCAAAGTGCAAAGACTTGCTTGTTGCTAAACCCTGCTACATACTAGTATGGCAGTGTGCAGAAATGCTGTAAAAGCCTTTGTGTACTACAAGTTTGCTTTCTATATTCCAGCCATTTCTGAAGTTTTTGGCAGCTCACACAGGATACCCACTGAAGAAGCTGAACAGTGAAAGAATCTGGAAGCTCTCTGACACCTTACAGTATGAGGTAAGTGATATAAAGAAAATTCCCAAGGTCCAACAGAAATGCTTACACTTCCTCAACCTGTTCTAGCTGTTACTGCTATTGTTTGCAAGGCATCAAAAGAGGGTAGGTCTGTGCTTCCAGATTTTTTTTTGAACCACAGCCTATTTTCAGCTTCTTCCTCAAAAACTGTCTTCTAACATCAAACTTGCAACTGAAAATGCTGTAAAGACACTGGGACTGTGTGAGGCTGCTGTGGGTTGTCCCCTGTGGTATGGAACATGGAACCAATGTCTTACCAAGTTCAGGATCCTGTCAGTGGCTGCAGATGGAAAATTAGGCAAAATCACACCTTGGGATAAAATTGCCTTGTTACTCCTCCAAACCCCATTGCAGGGATATGAAGGAATAAATGATGTTGTTGGCAAAGGAACATGAGCACTCTTCCACAAAGATTTTATGCAAATTCATGACCAAGGGAAGGCATTATTTGCATATGGACAGCAGTGGTCAGAGTATTTTCAGGAATTAAGCAGCCATGACATGAAACTGTATTTCCTTCAAAAAATATATCTATGACACAAATGGCCATTTGTGCAAGCCTAGGAGCCTGTTCTGAGCAAAAGAACTGGGCACATCACAAAGCAGCATGGATCTGGTAACAGAAGGGCCACTGCCAGGGCCACTGCCAGGGCCACTGCCAGGGCCAGCTGGGTCCCACAGCCTGGTACCTCTGACTGTGACTGGAAAACATCCTGGGTGCCCTTAACTGAGCAATAAGCCCCACTTTGTGTCACTTCAGAGTCTAGACCTACCTCAGCTGAAGGAAGTGAAAATTGCAGTCTTGTGTTAAGAAGTTATTGTTGCCACTGGCTTTCACTACAAGTGCTTTAATGAGTAGCTCTTTTTAAACTCAAATATCAAAGATAAATGACTTGTCAGTGCTGGGATACCCCTAGAAAACTGATGCAGTTTTAAGGTGGATTTCACAAGCACCATGTAATATTTGGGTGTGATGCTAATGAGTCACCTTTCCATATTTCCCAAATGCAGGGTAGCTCAGGACCACAACTTTTTATTTCAATTGTTGTATCATATGGAGAAACCTGTGTCACCAAGAGAAATGTGCAAAATCCAGAGCTCCCACCAGGAATCTAGCTAAATGCTGCAAGACAAAACCAATTAGCTGGGTTTCTCCTTCTGAGTGTTTGATCTGATGAGCTTTGGTCTTTCATACTGCTCAGTTAAGACTCTTGGGGGTATTAATTAAGATACCTGCCATGAAAGCCACTCTCACTCTTCAGGCATACAAAGAGCTTTCTTACAGAGCTTTTTAAACACAATTCATGAAGCCCCAGTAGCATGCATCTCTCTGTATTTGTTACTGTTGGGTAAGTGCCACCTGAGTTTCAGGTTGAGGTGCTTGCTTGCCTACAGCACTGTCTGAAATAACATGCAACTCCTTGATTCTTTCCTTAAGACACTAATCCCATCAGTTAAATGAGACAGTGATACAGTGTGACCTGAGCTGGCTTAACCTAACACATTCTATTGTTTCACCTGTTTAAACAAATCCTTTCTGTAGCTCCTTAGGGAAGAGCCCTCCCCCTGGTGAGCTCAGTCCAAGGGCTCACACTCCCAGAGGTTACACTGTGCTTCAGGACTGTGGTGCTACCCAGCAGACTGGTACATGTAGGTATGAGTTCCAGCTGTATGTTTAATCCCCACACATATCCTCCTACTCCAGTACATCCAAAGTACAGCTTTGCATATTCCTACCTGATCTCAGGACATCACTTTATCTCAGAGCTGCCAGCCCTTAAAATCCTGACATCTACACAGGATTTGTTTTGATAAAGATCTCAGGATATATCCCAGTAGAAGCCTGAAAAAGCAAGAGTCATAAAGTGAATATTTTGCACCTGACAACTGTATTAGCATAAAGAATGCCAGCTGCTTTTTGCATAATTTTTAATATTATATTTCTTCTTCTTGTTGAACATTGCCCTTCAAATTTAGGCAGTGTGATGCTATAAACATAAACTCTACAGCTATCTAAATGCAAAATACAGCCATTATTTTATTTTAAAAAGAACATGTTAATTGAGTGAAACATTCAGAATTTGTTCTGACATGCATTTTGTGCCAAAACAAACAGCAGTTAGCAGTAGGAAAGCAGTAAGAAAATCACCATGTTTTCTTTCTTCACTGTAGGACATGAACAATTCCACTTTACCTGCTTGGGCTACTCGTGGTGTCAGGACCAAGCTGATGAAGCTCTCAGAGCTGTTACTGCAGGCGGAATTCGGGCTCCACAAACAGACACAGAAATCCCGTTTGCAGGGAGGTAAGCTGAGTTCTCACCCCATCTGAAACCAAAGGCAGAATGGGACAGAAGAAGGGGGACATAATAAACATCACTACCACTTCCACGGTGGAACTATGAAAGATGCCAGGATGTGGCTATTGGTGACCAGCACTGAAAGATTTGGGTTCATGGGAAGAGAGATGGCACAGATATGAAACATGAATACCCTAAGCCAGCATTATAAAGGAGGCAGCATTTTGGTTGCACTGTGTAAGGAATCCACAGTAACATATAGATTCCTACTGACCTGAATCAAGTCTGAATTCAATGTAAGGCATCATGTTTAATTACTTGAGAAAATACTGCTTGTAATCATCTCTAGGATGGTAACTTTGTTGCCTAAGAGTCTTCATATTCCATTACTGAGAGAACTAAAATGAGATTATTAAACTGCTTCTGAACTTTATTCCACTCAGCAAATAGTGGCTGAAATTTAAAACCAGTTTATACCTTTTTAATCATGCATTCTCCTTCCCTCATCCACTGTGGCCTATTGGGCCTCCTTTTGCTTCATATGGGTGCTCTACAGTCAGGCTCTGTGAGCTACAAGGACAAATCACATATAATAAGCATGGATCAATTTGTTGGATTTTTTAGAGCTCCAACTTACAAAACTAAGCACAAAGGTGAAGCCTCTGCTCTTGCTTTAACAATTACTATTAAAAAATGTGCCAGCAGCTGAAGAGAATCCACCTGTTTAATTCTGCCAGCAGGTGCAGTTCACATTTTGAGATTTTGATTTGTTGAGATTCCAACCTTATGCTAATATATTATGCTATTTAATTCACATAGTCTTACAACTTTTCAGCAGTTAACAAAACACAGACAACCAACTACTTTAAGGCGGCCCAGGGCCCAAAGGATACATCCTTCCTTTCTGTCTGGAAATGGGAAGCCAGCAGAGCTGCACACAAAAGAGGGCAGTGCTCATTACCCTGCTCCTCCTGCTCCACTCTGCTGGCACCAGGCAGCTGTGAATGCACTGCCCAGAGCTGCTGGTGCTCTCAGGCACCCCCAGCACATCTGACACAGAAGTAACACAGGCCCACTGCTCAAATAACAGCTAATACCAGAATTAACCAGGGCACTTCATCCAAACTATCCATAACGTGAACTGAAGAAATCTGTTGTGTTAAAAGACAGCTGGTGTTCAAAGAGGGCCAAGTGGTATGGATGTTAACACAGGCAGCCCTCTCCTCGTCACTGCTTCCCTGTTTTATTTCAGGTATTCTTTTAAAAACCATTCTAAAGCACATCTCAGATGCTAGGAAGCCTTCCCACCAGAAAAAAATGGTTATGTATTCCGCGGTGAGTCCTTCCTGCATTCTTTCATGCTCCCTTTCTGCAGCTATTAAATGTAGTGAGAGCCATGAAACTGTATTTCCTTCAAAAAATATATCTACAAGCATTTTTATTTGGATAACCTTAAACATCATTCAGTTATATTCATTCTTTAGTGAGCAGATACTACTTTGAAACCTGCAGCATTCCATTTTCTACCTGAAGACAAGGCTTGCTTTCATTGTAGCACTGTTTTTATTAAGCAGAGGACTGCAAAGCACAAGCCTCATGTTTTATTGAACCAATATCATAAAGATAATTCAGAAGAAAAACCTCCTGCTTCCTGCATGTTTTTCAGACACAAATGAAAAAGAAAAAAAAGAGAAAACCAAACTTAGCTAATTTAGAAGGTCTGAAGATGGCAGGTATTCAATTGTGACTTTAATTTTTGTTTTGAATGTGCAAATACTGTCATGGTAGAAGGAAATTTTTGGATTGCTCTCATTAAATAGCTCCTATTTGTAAACTGCCATTAGATTATGACCTGTCGGGTAGTATCAGCCAAAGAGCTTGCTGGCCTAACCCCAAATACTGCTCACTTAACATGCAAGCCTCCTAGTTCTTTTTAAAAGCAAAGGAGAGCACTTGCCCAGCACTGCAGAGGGCACAGGGCGAGGGCTCCTGGTGCCACAGAAGTGTGTGCAGTACAGATAATGGGCTGGGCACAGTTCAGCCAGAGGCAGGTGCTGTCACTGCCAGCAGGCCCTTCACTGCAGGTCTCTTCTCTTCACAGCACGCAGCCACCCTGGCTGCCCTGCAGATGGCTCTCAGTGTCTCCAACGGGAAAGTGCCTCCTTACAGTGCCTGCCACTTTTTTGAACTTTACCAGGAAAAAAACGGGCAAGTATCTGCAAGCTGTACTGCTAGCACATAGCTTTTCTAAAAAGCAGTGTACTGATACCCCAGGCTAATCAAACTGGATATGGAAGGTTCACTACACAGGAAAAGATTATAGATTGATTTTAATTATTATAATTGGACTCAATTGAGCAGTTACTGATGGTAGTAGAACCTCAGCACTGAAAACCCTCTACATATTGCTTCACTACAGGTCTGAGAGGTTTCACTCCACCCTTTTTATCTATTTAACTCCTTGACTCTCCACCGAGAAGACAAACTACATGCAGATTTGTGCTGACCATCTATTGTCTATAAGATCTCTTCAGAGCCCTAATGATACTTATTAAAAGCTGGACAAATAAGCTGGCTAAAAGTTTATCTCCCAAGCACAATCACCACAACATGGCAAGGCTGTGTGGTCCTGCTCACCTACCTTTGTTTCGACCCTTCTCTCTTTTGAAACAGGCAACACACGATAGAAATGTACTACAGGAACAATTCTCTGAGAGACCCTCACCCCCTCACCCTCCCTGGCTGCAGATTTCGCTGCCCGCTGGAGAGATTCACTCAGCTGCTCTCCCCTGTCCTCGTGCACCACTGGACAAGAGAATGTAGGATGTAGGCTGTCAAAAGAGGTAAGTTAATTGCTCTGGGCACGTGTACCCCAAAAGTAAAGTCAGGATTACGTCTTCTGCCAAGAAGATCATATAATCAAAAGCTGGCATTAATAAAGACACAAATATTTAGCCTTAAGTTCAACACAAAGGCTGCATATTGCTTCAGTTCTCTGATTTTGCTTAAGTAGAAGTCACGTGGTGTTGCCCAGGCATTTTACACCAAGTTGAGCATCACTGCTCAGCACTGTGTTCATTAGTAAACTAAAGAGTGCTGAAAACACATACGGGCCACAAAAGAGACTCCAGCCACAACTGATGCTCCAATCACAGGATCTGCCATATCCTCAGAGCAAAATTTGTCCCTTTCCCCTATTTTATCCTGGTTCAGAAGGGTTCAGCAACTACTGGGGCCCAGTCCTCATTGTGGGGCTCTTGACTCTGCTCCTGCAGGCAGAACTGTTACACCCTCTGCTGTGTGAAGAGGCTGGCTGCCCACAGGCTGCCAGACCCCCGTGCTCCCCGTTCCCAGCAGGCACACACAGGCTGCAGCAGCTCACCTTGAACCCCAGGAAGCTAAACCCAGAGGAATAGTGATGCAAAGAGCTTACAGGTTACATTCACACCTAACAACATCCCAATTTCAGCTGTTTTCAGCGTGGTCAAAAATCATCTCAAATATTGTCCTTTGCTAATGTGTATGTTAATGCCTTGATTAACATGCACCAGAGCACCTGATGGATAGAGAAGCATTCCATAAGTGTAACTTTTTGGAAGGAAATCCAGGAGTGTGACCCAGCTATAGAATTTACCTTGCATAGCTATTCTACACAGAGACAGCATTTCCCAACCACAGAGATGTTTCCAGAAAATGCTTAACTGGAGTTTCATGGAGATGATGACTTACATCCCCAGTAGAGGGAAATACAGGGGTTAGGCAAGGATTGCTACAACAGGTCACACAAGAGGGCAGCTCTATTTGAGGGTGGAATCAACCAGAGCCAAGATCCTCCATGTGATGATGACCACAGTGTGGCACATACGAAGTGCAGGCAGCTCAGCTTATCTGGGAAGGAGAGAAAACATTTCCCTGTGCTCTTCTGGCCACTCAGGAAGGTTTCAGTGTGGACTTGGCCACCATTTCAACAGGCTTTTCCTAATTCCATCAAAACGGGAGCACATTTGTTAAGTCTTCCACACTCAGTCTGAGCTACCCCCTTGCTGAGGTGCAATTAACAGATTTGCCATGCCTTTGGAGAACGTGGCTGTACACTGAGAATGATTCTCTCTTTCTGTCTCACCTTTAGGTGCTCTTTCCATAGTCTTCAGTGTGATCAGCTTTATGAAGCAGCTCCCCCCACACCGTGATGTGACTCCAGGCTAACGTTTCTCATCGACCTCCATCCGCATGACCAACAGTCTCCTGATCTCTACCAAAAGAAAACATTTCTCAGTACAACAAACCAAAATTATAGAAAGCTGTGACTTATCCTTCAGGAACATTCACTTTATTTTATCAAGCAGTAAAACCCAAGTGCAATACAAAACCAAAGTAATTTTTCAAGATCTATCCATTCCAAAGGGACTTTGCCAGAATTAATTTGAGAATCTAATTGTAGTTACAGTGTTTTGAAGGGCCATAGCCTTCATGTATAGCAAAATTGTAAAACACCCCAGAAGGAGTGTTCCCCTCTTTAGAAGAATGAAACAAGAACTTGCAGAACTGCTGAGGGAAGCAGTGCTTCAAAAGGAGCCCCTAGAAGGAGGAGGAGTCATCCCAATGTCCTTATACTATTCAAGAAGTAATGGAGCATTTCACACAAACAGAGCAAAGAAGCTACAAAAATGAGGATAATAACTGTTTACTTACCTAAGAGATGTCTTTTGTGTTGTTTTCTCTGTCTTATATGTGCACGAATATCCCTACATCCTAGCTGAGGCCACTGCTCACAGACCACCAGCAGAAGGTTCCCCTTTCCCACCGCAGCAGACCGTGTCTTCTTCCCTGCTGCACACCCCAGTGAATGTACCTTGGATGTTCTGATTTCTGTGGAGCAAAATTAAATTTCAAATTTTATTTCCAAGCTAAGTAATTTCTAAATAATTTTATTTGCTTCATCCCTATTCAACAGAAATTTCATCATACACATTCTTTATATTGTTTTTTGTTCTTAGGACTATCTCTGTAGAAATACAGACAGGAAAACTTCCTTTACAACTTGCTTACTCCAAGGAAAAATAAACATCAGTGTTCATTAAGTCTGAAACATCATGCCCAGGTCTTGTTGTATGAATATAAATTGGGGATGCCAGTGAATGAATAATAAAACACTCTGAATGATGTTTTTCTACAGCTGCCCAGATGACTCCATTTGAAAAATCTGTCCCTTTGCAGGTATGAAGCATCCCTTTTAAAGAGATGTTAGCAAGGATTTTCCATAAAATGCAGTTATGTATTTTCAAACATTCCTGAGCTATGCCACCTAGCATTGCAAAAAAACTGAATTCTTGTCTAAAGTGAAGTTACTGTAAGTGTTCCATAATAATGAGATCTCATTAGTCATGGTCCCTCATCAAAGAAACATGATAAACGAGCAAATCTTATAAAAGCTACTGAGTTATGAATGCCATGGTAAGACCTTGGGAAGGACAAGGAAAAATTCTGGAAGCCAACAAGGATTCCTTGATCCAAGAAGCTTAGGAAACACCTATCTAAAGAATTGTACAGATAAAAATGTAGGCCATGGGTTCTTGAGGCATATTAAAATACTCTAAAGTTTTTTATGACCTGCACTCTATTATTTAAGAGGAAGATCATCAGCTTACATTTGTTTTTAGAAAGACCAAGTACTACATATTTATGAAGCACAGACTACTCTCTTACACCTTCTGCATAGGCACAATGACACCAGGAGAGACCACAAAGGAAGGTGGGGATGTAACAGTAGAGGAAGAAAGAGGTTCAAGTACGTGCTGACAGCTGGGCAGGGACCGCCAGGAGGACAGGAAGCCCGGTGGCCGTGGTCTCCTCCCCTCTGCTCCCATGCAGCAGAGCAGCTGGTGTGTGAGGCCATCCACACAGCTCGGAGGAGAGAGCACTTGAGGCTCTGGGGGCTCAGGGCCCTGGAGACAGAATTTCTGCTCAGTGGTGAGACACCTGTTGTAGAGTAAACTGTTCCAGAGAACTCAACAGACAACCCTGAGACAGGGCTGGGTAGAACAGGAATGGGACGACTCAGACAATGCACAGAGGATTTTAAGTGTTTAACAGTTATAGAGCTCTGTTCCTAGGGCTCTGCAAACTCATAAAAATCTTACGAAATCAAGGCTAATAGTATTTTTATTTTAAAGAGAAGTCAGCAGAGGCAAGCTGAGCAATCTTCTCAAAGCCTGTGAGCTCCTGCCAGAAAGAGTCTTCTTAATCAGTTAGAAGAAAAAATGTGAGCTTCAGGAACTGTTCACAAGAAATTTCTTAAGAAAATCAAGGCTAAAAAAGAATTCCACATAAGCAGTTACAAAAGGGGAAGTGTAGATGTACTCCAAGGGAAAAGAAAATCAACACAGGGAAACTGAAGAGCAAATATCTCTCTGGGGAGGAGCTTAAAGAACATACTTGTCACAAGATTTATTCAAGTATTTTATCTGAGGGACTGGTAATTTTAACCTACATGAACTGTTGCTTGAAACAATTATTCTGATTTCACAGTGACAATGTAGAAGAGGAAAGAAAAGAGGAGGGGAGGGAAGCTGAAAGGAGGACTAACTGAGCAGCAAAGACAAAAGAAAAACAGCAGTGCCTGGCTCTCAGTTCCGACTTCATCCCTGTGGCCGTGCTATAGTCTGGAAAAATTCCAAGCCTTGGGAAGTGGAAGCAGAACAGAGAGGTTGAAACACTAGGAATGCTCAGCAACTCCTTCATATTTTAGCCTCATCCTTACACTCCAAAAGAGAAAAATATCACAGATAAAAAGGACCCGAATTATGACTTGATTCAGTCTCATGTAAACAGCGATTTGCACACAAAGGGCGATGCAGTTTGCTGGTAGTCACACAGCATTCCTCTTGGATTGGAAATTCACCTCCAGCAGTCCCACCCCTTTCAGAAGCACAGCCTGGCGTCCGGGCTGCTCAGAGCCAGCAGCTGCTGGAGCTCCAGAGTCTCTTCATCCCCTGCCAGGATGGCAGTGATGTGGCTTCCCAGCCCGGCTAGGACCCTGTGGTCTTCCCTCAGCGTTCTCCTCATTCTGCTTCAACAGACTACTGCAGGCAGAGAACTGAAGTTTGTGGTGGCAGTAAGTACATTTGTTCTCTGTTTTGCTGTGGGGAACAGGAGGAGCTTGACGTGGCTGTCAAATCAGACAGGCATGCTGTTGCTCTGCCTCTCCTCAGACTTAGAAATACCTGCTGATGCCCTTCTGCTTACTGAGGTTAAAGATTTTACTTAAAGAAGAAAAAAAATGCCTCTAGTTATGTGAATTTTCATCTCCTACCCCCCAGTCATTATTTCAAGGTAACTAACAGCTTAGTGTTGTGGTAGGCACCTGCTGCACAGGAGTTAAGAGAGCTGGTGACTGAGGTTACCTGTTCTTGCTTAATTTAGCTGACACTGCTGCACAGTCTGAGATTAAGCCTGGTGATTATTGTCTACTTTCCCTGGGTTTGGAAGCCAAAACTTCTGATGGTACAGGAGTTACCACAAAACTGAATGTGTTTTCCACTTCAGAATAACTGAACTGGCACAGCAGTACACTATGAAACAGAAAGGGGGAATTTTATAGAGCACTGAGATACCTGCTGCACTAACTGCAGTTAGGTTGGAAACAGATTGTAATTGGCTCTTTTGCTGGAATGTTTCTTATTTTAAAGTTACTAGACAACACCTCAGTGTCACTTTCTCCAGTACCTCAGATAAAAGAGAGATTACTTCAGTGAAATAGTTTAGATCATGAAGGTTGTATCATAGTCCTTTTCATTTTTTTTTTTTTTAAATAACAGATCCACTGATAAAGAACAATTAGTCTAAAAGGCTATTTTCAATACAAAGTTGTGGGACTGCAATTCCTGTTTACAAATAGGAATTTGAAGATCTTCTTTCACCTTTATCTGAGGCACTATGTGCACGTACAGATAACAGACAGAAGTGCTGTCCCCCAGACGTATCACCTAGCTCTAGATAAAGCATTTCATGTCTCTAAAGGAGAACTGGCCACAGGGGTGAGATCTGGCAGTCAGCAAGCCCTGCCTGGGCAGTGAGCTCTCTGAGGGGAGGAGACCTATTGAACTGCAGCTCTTACTGTGCTCTAACCAGCACTGGGCATGCAGAAAGAGTTACAGGAATGCTCACCACTGTGGAGACAGAGGCTTCCCATCCAAACCAGCTGCTGCCCACCACTGGGCAGCCACCTGCCCCACCTACCAAAAGGAAAAAAAAAGTTAACTATTTATTTATAGGGTAGCTTAACACAATATTAAAATAATAGGTAAATGTCACTTAATCTGTCTTCCTTCTATCCCTGATACTTTTCCTCAGACTGACTGATCTGCCTAAAATGTTACTAAAGGTTTAATCTCATCATCAACACACATCTCTTTTCTCACAGTGTGGATTCTGTGGGTTCAACTGAACTTTGCCCTCTGAGCTCACTGTTGGGATTTTCATGGGCACAGAACTGCTAGCATAAATAAATAGGACAGGAATTGGCCCCAGAACATTTCACTGATGTAACGGGATATGAGGGTTTGGCTAAAGTCAAGGTAAGTCTAAAGGTACCATTCTGAGAGAATTCAATAGCCACTTTCCAGCCATGCCCTGTAAGCTGCTACAAGTGCTTCTGCATTGTAAAAACATGTCATAACAACTTTCTAAAACTTCCTTAGCAGAATTGCACAATGTAAAAGACATCTGCAGGGGAGAAAAAAAAAACAAATGCTTTTGCTAACTTTTAGGATTGTGCTATATTCTGGGAAGTTATCTTGCTCTGTCCTCATGATTTCCATCTTTGTGCTGATTGATTATTGGCCAAATGTCCTTGGCTGAAAAGTTCTAATTCAAGCCAATTGGTCAAAGGGCTACTTTAATTTTCTTTCTCACATGTAAATTAGTCTTCACCATAATTCTTGTGGACTGAATTAAAACTAGAGATAGTAGAAGAAAATAGGAATTATGTAGGACCATTGGGTAATCAAGTAGAAATGAAACACTGATTTATTGCCTCTGTACAAAGAAGATCTGACCTGTAACTTCTGCCTCCATGCTGACACTCACTTCACCTGTCATATACAAAGAGGTGTGGTTTCTGAGGTGCTGTGATTCACATCTTCCTCCTTGTAACTGAGGACGGGAAGCGTTGACAGGACATGTTATCTCTGTGTCTGATCAAGCCAAGCCATCTGAAACCTTGACTAACCATGCGGAGTGTTTCTGCATCGACAGCTCCCTGAACTGGAAGTGTGGTTGCTTCCATTTCTCTCCAGTTTCTTCATCCCTGTTGCTAGCTTCAAAATAAGTAGTTTTGTTTGAAGTTGAGCCTGTCGATAAACATGTCTATAAGAGGCTCACTATTATTCAGGGACATAATTCCCTGTAGTCCATGGCATTTCTGGGTGAAGATGTTGTATGTACTCCACAGGGCATATTCTGAGGCCACCCTCTCCTCCACAGCAGTTTTTCTCCAGTATGATTTTTCACCTGAGAGCAATGGAAGCAAACGCTGGCCAAACCCTGTGCCACATGGCCTTTTGATCTGATCCCCCCCACAAAGTCACAAAGAGCAAATGGGAGAACCTGGACACCAAATGGGGCTCAGGCTGCTTTACAGCTGAAGGAGAGGGTAGCTGGTAACTCTCCAGCTCTTGCTTCTGAGCACTGACCGAGGCAAAGCCCTTCAGACAGCAGTGCAGAAATGAACACACCAAACAAGCATGCTTTGCTCTTTGGGGGTACATCCTCCCTGCCTCCCCCTCCTTCTTGATTTCTAGTGTCTTTTCACCTTTTATGATGTCTCCTTGTTCTTCTCTCATCCTTCCATGTCTGTGTCTTCTGAAAAGTGAGGAAGGCAATCTGTAGGCCAAGAGTAATAAAGGCTGCAGCACACATTTTTAAATCATCTGAAGTATCAACTCCTTTTTAGCAAAATCTAAATGATGAGTGTTGAAAAATATACACTAATGAGGAAGGCAAGCTTTGTAGGGATACATTGCAGTATCAGGTGTTGCAATGAAAAACTTTCAAATACACAAGTCTTAAAGTTTTAGATTAAAAAAAAAATAAAAACCTCCTAAAAGGCAGCGATGATTGAATGAGTTGGTCGTTTAGGTTAAGTGGTTGTTGATAAGGTCATTGCTTCATTTGCAACTGCAACTGAAGCAAGGTCATTTTCAGAAGTAGCAAGAAACAGGTTTGAGCACAAAAAAATCAGTTGGACAAGAAGTTTAGTCCTTCATTTCCTAAAACCAGGATTCTGCTCTTAGAAGTATTTGTTTCTTTATTGCTACGTCCAACTTAGCATTAAATCATATTTAAATCATATCCTTTCTGTGAAGCTGGCTAATTTAACAGGAAAGTATGCAATTATGTTGTGATTGGGAATGTAACCCTCTTTCTTCACAAAGACATCAGCTTGTCCAGAAAAGCCAATGAATCCTACCTGACACCCAAGCACATCAGCATGTCAAAGCAACAAGCAGTGACACAGAACTTCTCACTCATGTTTCTCATGTGCAGCTGCACCAGTCACCAGACAATGTAGCTGTTTACCTGCTCTCCTACTCACTAGAGGTGTACTGAGAAATTATTATAAAGAACCAACTGAGATTCCAGATATGTAAGAAAAGACATGAACAGGAATAAAAATTTCATAGAGAGGCAAACCCAAAATATTTAAGAAAGAATTTATGGACTACTTTGCTGTACTTGCACTTGGAATGAAAAAGGTGTTTTTTCCTAGAAACTGTGCAAGTTCACGGTGATGACAGTGGCAGAAAAACCTCCTGGATTTGCTGAAAAATATCCATTTCAGGTTGGCCACATCTTCAGTGAAATGCAACTTGCAAAGCAAAGAAATAATAAGCAGTATTCTACATGGTTCTAATGGCAACATTTACTCCAGCCAACCTCGCTGCCTATTGTAGAAAACGAGCAGAGGGAGAAATCCAATTATATTTGTCTTTAAAGGGTAGCATTTTCCACCTCTGGAGTACCTGCTGTAGTGCAGGTTTGTGCACATTAGTGCAGAAGGCTGATGAAAAGGGTGTGTGTTGTAATTAAAACATTAAGCCACACTGCTTGTGTTTACTTTGACAAATATAAATGCAAAACACCTCCCAGTGGGAGTGCTGAACTAACCAGCAGGCAGAAACCTCTTTGATGTTTGGGCAAGGGTGATGTGGCTGAACGAGGCAACGGGGAGCACTCCTTGCCATGGAGCTGCACACCAGTGAGGTCCCGTGGAACAAATGCACCCTGCTTCCAGAGGGTCACTGCATTCCCCACAGCCAGGAGCGAGGCTGGTTGTGTGAACATGGACACAAGTGCAGGGGGCTTTTGCCACAGTTTGGCTCAGCAGCCTGGAGGATTGTCTGGAGCCCTGTGAATTTGTGTTCCAGCATTCCCTTTCACATGGAACTTTTGTAAACTTAATTGTAATAAGCCCACGCAGGATGTGCTCAGGGAGAGTAATTCCGAGGTTTCCAGAAGTATTTAATCCATGGTTGGCACTTTCTTTGTATGCTGGAATAAAAATACAAAAAAGTCCATTTAAGGTTTCTGATCTAAAAATCACGATTGACTGTACCACACTAATATTTACTGTGCTGCAGTGCCCAGTACAGGAAAGCAATCAAACTCTCTGCTCTCACTGAACTTAACAGAAAAATAATCCTACAGACTTTAAAAAATATTTTCATACATGTATGTAGAAGTATTAGTAAATATTAAGTAAGTTAACAGTGTAAAAGTGTTTACTTTTTCATCTTTATATTTTGGGATGACTGTGAAATCAAATATAAGATCCATGTGTATAAGGAATTACTTCTAAAGATACTGCTACTAAAAAAGCAGTTACCAAAAGTCTCAAGTGTCTATACTGAAGTAATTTAATACTCACATAAGCACATCTGTAACTTGTTTAATATCTGGAGGTGCTGAGTGTCCAAAATTCAGTCAGATTTCTTGTCTAGGTGCCCAGCTGTGCCCAGCTCTGGATGTGATCTCAGCATTAACATCTTGGCTGATGAATTTTATGTTCTAGGAGGAAGAAACACCAGGCTCATGCCCACTGAATTCCTGTACAATTACACCTATTTGTGCGTGTTAAGAATGTGCTCTGACCCCACTTGACCAGGTTTCTGCAGACTCTCCAACAGTGTCATTTGCACAATGGCACTGGGAGTACAAGGTGTGCTTAAGGGATGTTCACAGCAATTGACTCCATTTTGTCACTGGTATCATTGTCAGGTCTTCCGACACGGTGACCGAACACCCATCCTCAACTTCCCAACTGATCTGCACAAGGAAAGTGAATGGCCCCAAGGATTTGGACAACTTACCAAGGTATGTTGACTTTCTTAGAAGAACTTGCACATGCTGCTAAGCAGGAAGTGGGTGGATGTTTTTGATGTGTCTTTCAGAGCCATTAGCAAATCTCCAGCACTGATAGTTGGTTTGCCATACCCTGTAATTCACAAACACTTTCACAACATGTTCATCCAACTACTGTTAAACTGAAATCTTGTTCATCACAGCTTTATAACGACCTTCCTAAAAGCAACAACTTCCTGACAGTGTGTCTGCATTTAAGTACGTGGCAAGATTAAACATTGTCTATGCTCTTAACATTGATGAAGTTCTAATGACCAGGAAGCACTGAGCACCTGCCCATCAGGTCAAGCGATGAGTCTACATCCCATCATTTGACTTGCAACCACCTACTCACAAAACAAAAGCAGTCCTGCAGGAGAAGGCTGCTCCTGGGGACAATGTGTCTTCTAATAAGGCTGCTTTCAGCCCAGAGTTTCACTAGGGTGCACTGAATGTTACTTAAGGCATGAAATGCAAGCCACAGATTTATCAGGTTGATCAGATCTGACAATATAAGAAATCCTGGCCTATCAATCATCCTTTCTTGGCTGTCACTAACTGACATGCATTGTAAAGAGCCATGTTGATCATGAATAACTGCAGGAGCATCTACAGAGCTACAGCACTGTGGACACAGTATTTGGACAGAATCAGGCTCATTGCCTTTCCTGTAGCAGTTGTTGGAGTCTTAGCATTTCAGAATGTATAATTTTTTAAAGATATAAATGAGTATTTCTGCTAAAAGCTCTAGATCACCTACAACACATACAGTGCATTATACAAATGGTGAATGATCACTTAAAAACTGATTGTTGAAGACAAGAGAGAAAATAGAAAAGAAACTTCTACATTAATATTCTCCAGCCAGTTTAATCTAACAGTCACCTGTATGCTTGCCTGGCAGACTGGAATGCAGCAGCTGTTTGAACTGGGGCAGTACACGAGGAAAAGGTACTCCAGCTTCCTGAACAGCACATACAACCGGCGAGAGGTAGGCAGCAGAGCTCTCTGCAGGGCACTTCCCTGGCACGCTCTGGACTTGTGCCACCTAAAACCACGCCACCATTTTCCTTTTGTTAATGGGAAATTAAGGTAATAGAAGAACATTTTTGACAGTCAGGCTTTTATGTCAAGGTAAAAACACAGACTCAAGTCTTCCAGCTCCTACATTCAGTTTGGGTCTTCCATCGCCCAGTTTTCCAGGACTGACAGCTCCACAACACCCAGTGAATTGGGAACTTATGTCTAGTGTCCCAACATTGTTCCACCCCATTGAAAGGTGAATGCACATCCAGGCACATGATGGGCCATGCTCACAGACTTCAGCTTGTAAAAGAGAGGTCTGTTTGGACATGTCTGTCTGGGAAGACACCACTGACATTTTGGCCTATACATGAGGGATGGATTGATGGGGAGTCATAAAGACTACAGCTTTGCCAAGCTTCCAAGAGAGGTCTACAGTTTACGTGCCTTCATTCCTGAGCTGCAGCAGATGGATTATAGAATCATAGAATCATAGTATCATTTAGGTAGGAAAAGACCCTTAAGATCATCAAGTCCAACCATTAACCCAGAATTTTCCTTGATTATTTCCTTATTATTTCTATTGTTCCAATGCTATTTTTAACTCTTTGGAATTCTCTCAGTTTTACATCCAAAGTACAGATTACGACCGCACCATTATGAGTGCCCAGACATACCTTTCTGGCCTCTTTCCACCAACCAGCAGCCAAATTTGGAACCCTGAGATTCTCTGGCAACCCATTCCAGTCCACAGTTTGCAAAAATCAACAGACCGGGTGAGTACTGGCTGGACACTTCCTGGAATGCCTTACACTTCCAAGAAGCAAACAAGAGAAAAAAAAGGGGGGAAAACCTAAAAAAAAAATGTTTTCTATTCTTTTTGAGTTCGATCTCATAGAAAACATCAGCTGCAGCTAGTAGCTGGCAAGGATGTCATAGGTCAGTTGTAACAGCTGCATGAAAACTCTCCCTCTATAGTGCAGAATGGCTGAACTGTCACCCACACTGCTCTTTCTTCAAGGTACAGCTCTAACAGTTCTCCTGGCAGGGACACTTTGGGGCAGCATGACAGGGAAGTCGCTCTAACCCTTTACAGAGAACAAATGCTCTCCTAAACACCAACCATGAGACAGACCTCCCCTCCTTGGCAAGTTTGCTCCATAGCTTATTCAAGGAATGGCATTTTCACCAGCCACTGTAATGACCTCTCAGTTATTACTCTCCCATTCTGGTAGCACTTAAGGCTCCCTAATTATAGACAAGGGCTCTTTTATGCTCAGTGCTATACAAACATTTGATGAAACCCCAGCACTTGCCTTGTGGTTCACTATAAGAGCAGACCTACCCAAATATCAGGTCTTGTAGTTTTACTAAATGCAGCTCTCTGTGGCTGACTCAGGTTTAGATTTTGATTTAATCAGCTCCTGGGACAAGGACTGTGTACGGAACAATGGGCGAACAAAGAGAAAAAGCTACTGAGTGTGATGACTGAAGGGCTAATTTTCTTCTGCCTTTGAGGACAGAACATTAAGGAAATGTCCACAAAACTCCTATTAAAGAACTGCCTGTCCAGTCAGCAGCACAAGAGGATGGATTCTGTCATTAGGGGGTGGCTGCACCTGCCTCCCATTTGCATCTCTCTATCCTTGGAGGCTGTGCTTGAAAGCAGGTACAGAGAGGAAGGGGTTCCACAGGCTGCATTAGGCACAACGTGATTCAGCCTGAAACTTAACTCTGCCCCTCAACAGGAAAGAATGCTGTCACTGTTATTGAATGGGGGACACTAGGGGAAGTTCTTCCACCAGAAGACCAAAAAGGATCAAAGTGGTCAGAGCTTTGGTCAAATAAAACCTCAAAGCCCTTAGGGAAATCCCAGTGCCCTGCAGGGACCTGTCTGGAGAAGGCAAGCTCATTTGGAGGAACCTCTTACACCTCCTCACTTTGGCAGCTCCTCCAGGAGTGAGTACTGATGTTCCACTGAAACACATCTCTGTGGCACCTCAAAATTCTGGTTAAATTTACAAACCACCTGGAAAAAACATTGTTCCCTTGTTACACCAAGCAGATCCTTGGGGTATTTTCAAGCCCTAAGCAACACAAAGTGGGAAATTGAGGCCAAGTACAGTCCCATAGAAAACCCAAATCACAGTTCATTCTTCAGCCACTGGGACCTATCAAGACATGACAGGCACAGTACTGAGTACTGCTCAAGGAGGCCAAAGGGAGTGGCTGAACTAAGAACACCTAGAGTGGGATAATTAAGCCATACTGCAAAAGACACATTTGTTATTGTGTAATTAAACAGCATTCCTCTGTTTCACATTGCAACCTCAAGCCTTCACCCTGCGACGTGCTGCTGGTACAGAAACAATGCCCCTGTGGAAAGCAGTGCAAGTGCCAGAGTGTGTGTCTGGCAGTGGCTGCTGCAAGCTTCACACTGATAAACCAAAGAGAAGAGAGACATGCTGGCAGTGCAGCCTGCAAACGTCCTCCCCAAGACAGAGCAGACCCCCCTGCACATACACAACCCATAGATACTGAAGCTAAGTGACACGCAGTCTTTCTAGGAGCACCTGCCCAGAGGTATCTCCACTGTACAATAAGCCAGTTCCTTGACATGAGTTCCATGGGCACAGGATGATACTAGTGTTGGGTCAAGAACCGTCCAGTGATGTGACACAAAGTGCTGGACCAGCAGAAGCTTATTTGCTCATCCTAATTGTTTACTGACACTTTGTGCTGGACCAGGCACCATCTGCCCTGCTGCGACTGGCAGGGAGTATTTGCCAGAGCACAGAGTCTGCTGGGCACCTATGTCTTTAGGCAAGGTTCACATCAAACATGCAAGATCAGCTGAGCTCGTAATGCATACACTGTAAGTTATTAAAAGTGCACCTGAATACCTTAAAATAAGGACAGAGCTATTAGGCTCACAGCTATTTGATGTTTCAGGAGCACAATTTATTTGTCAGTCTCGTTTCGAGTTCTGTCCATTAAGTGGTACTTAACATGTTTACAGTAACAGGCTGCTTGCCTCCAGAGGGATGAGAGCAGGGTGTGTAGATGGAGAAGCAGTTCAGATTCCAGCACCAGGTGGAGTCAAGCTGCACCTGGAAAGATTCAGAAATTAAGAGGGAAATGGTAGCTTTTCAAAATTCCTGATCATGGGCCCTGATACATTTCCCAAAGCAATCCCCTGACAGACGTGCATAATTGTTTTTTTTGCTAAAATCAGGTAAGCTGAGTGAAATCCAGGTATCATAGCCACTGAAAAGTCATGTTACCCCAGTTTGTTGCTTATGTTATCTGAAGTCCTGAACAAGGTACCCAAACAAACCACTTGGGAGCAGCCGTAGCACGGCCATGAACCTGTCTAAGAAATACTCCAGCAACAATCTCAGCAAGAGAAAAACTGGAGGTGTGCTGAGTAATTCTAGAACTATTCTAAGTTTTACTTCTTTGGTTTCAGAGGCTGCATTTCCCTCTGCCTGACTGCCCACGTTTTGATGAACTTCAGAATGAAACACTAACATCTCCTGAATTTCAAAGCAGAATACAACCATACATGGTAAGACAAAATCCAAATAAAACAAAATCTGGGAAGGAAAGTTAATTAAGATGCAGAAACTATGAAATTGCATTTTTCCTTTTGACAAAATTCAAAAATAAATAAATGCAGAAAAAAAAATCTTAAGCACTCTCTTAAAAATTTAGGCCAACATGATCAAATGGTGTTTGATAAGCTTCTGTGTTTATCACACTTTTCTATAATAATCTTTTAAAATATGACTTTAACATTGATTTTCCAAGACTATTTAGAGCTGCACATAATTAAAGTTCAATGATTGCACACATCCTCTCAAAGTCACTTTGGGCTTTCTGCTTGGCCTAAGGCAAACCTTTTCCTTTTGTGGTTTACTGCTACCCTTCTGCTAGCTCAGCCACTCTGGTCAGCCCCCCTCACCCGTGGCAGGGCTGAATGATGACTTCACAGCCATCCTCCCTCTGGTATGAAACAAGCCATGTGGGAATAAAGGGTATTAAGCAGTTCCTTTATTCTTCTGTGGAGGCACACAGCAAGAATCCCCATGGGAATTGTTGTGGAACTATTACTTTGATATTCAGCTCACCTGCAGTGCCAGAAGGAAAACCTAGTTTCCTTTCCAATTTCTTTTTGCATCATCCTAGACACTTGCCTCAGCTATCTTTCATTTTCTGTTTTCTCCTCATCTTCTTTCTCATGTTCCTTTTCCCTTAGTGCCTTCCTCTTCCTTACAGCTGAAGGCCTGGAGTGACTGAGGTACCTTCCTCAAGCAGTCAGGAGAGGGAGAGAGGTGTGCAGCAGAGAGAGCACCTGACTTGCCCAGAGCAGGGCTGAGGAAAAGCAGTGTCTGGAGCAGGGATCAGTGCCTTGAAATGGCTACAGAACGAAATCTGCAACCAAAATCTTCTGCTACAAGGGCTTCACCTGTGTAAAATTAAACCCCATTGCTAATGAACCATATATGCTCCATACGTGTTGAGGATTTGTGGCATACTCTTTACTTTTTTTCCCCCCAGGATTTTTTACAAACAATGGCAGTTAACACAGGACTTGAACTAAACAATCTTAAAATCCTGGACAATTTCCAGCTCTGGAATACATATGATACTCTATACTGTGAGGTAATATAAGGTAATAGGGGTTGGGAAAGAATATAACTCCTAAGAGGGGTTTCAGTTAAACTAAGGCAAGGTGGTTTCAGAGGAAGGAATTGCCTTCTCTCCTAGATTTGCCTTTAAAAAAGAAATTAAATTCAAATCTAAGTTCTAATTTAGTACATTGATAAAACATAACCCAAAAACATGGTTTACAGCTTGGGAAACTGTTTCTATTTGATGTTTTTTCCTGAAGCACTGCTACCAAAATCCATTCCTTTTATTCCCTTATTTTCCTTCCCAGTATGCTGCTATAGAATTATTTGAGCATGGTGCCTAGGACATATTTATGATTTTTAACAGGAAAATTATATTATTTGCTTTAACCTACCAACAGGTAAACATCAAATACTCAGATGTTGAAAATGGGAGGTAAGATTATGATCTATCAGTTAGAAAATTAGGAGATGGGGATTGCTGCCAGTGAATAAAACCAGACTGGCCCCAAGCACACGATGATTCCACTTGGCCCAGCCAGGATCAGCAGCAGCACGTGGTGGCTGCTGAACATCCTCTGCACACACTGAGGCACTCAGCACGGTAAGACACTGTCACTCTGACCTGACTGGAGAGTGACACATGTCAGTAAATGGCCAGTGGTGGAACTGGTATCTGGACAACTGTATGGAAAGGGCAGGAGAAGCTGGAGCAGAGTTATACTCTGAGAAAGGAAGAGGTTAAGAGGTATGTCTGCAATCTTCCACATGAGGAAAACAAACCCCATAGATCTCTATAGGAAGAACACATTATACCTACAAGGTCTCCCCTCTCTCTTCCCATTCACCCACCCTTGGCCGCCCCCATTCCCCCATGGTGTATTTCAGGGCATGCTACTGGGCAAAGAGTTGCAGAACAGCCTCAGAGTCTAAGGTGGTAGTGTGAGGATGGGCAATAGCATGATGGAAACCAGTAGAAGAAAAAAAACCCACTGTTTTGTTTTCCTTTACGACTAGCACATTCACAATTACACTCTCCCCGCATGGGCCACCAAAGATGTGATGGACAAGATGGAAAAACTGGCAGAATTGTCCTTATTATCACTGTTTGGGCTTTACGAAACACGAGAGAAATCACGACTACAAGGAGGTAAATGAAAGAGGTGTAGCTCTCAGACAGGCAGTGACAATGCTTGTGACAACGTGCGACGTCCTGCCACCCCACTCACACCAACTCCTGACACAGAACCTTGCTGTGTGAGCCTGGACACTGCCCAGCAGTGAGCTGTGCCCTCCCTAGACACCTACAGACTGTGCCGTGGGGGATCTCTGCTGCCCTCATCCCCTTGCCTCGAGAATGTCTCTGCTCTGGAGGAGCACGAAAGAGCTTGGGAAAAATGAAGAACTGACACTGTGTGACTGGTGGGAAGCAAACATGTTAAACTGTCCTCTCAGTCTCTAGAGAGGAAGGGGCTAGCACAGCTGTCACTCCTGCAACTCTCCCAACAGACAAAAAATGATGGAGAGGAGGTCTCAGCATAGCAAAACTGGAAGTGCCACTAGCCCCAGTTCTCAGGGTAGTTCTAGGGGACTTCCTGTAACTCCTGCCTCTGCATTTGACCTGGATGATGAATGATATATTTCACCTCTAAAATACCTTTTTCTCTAGCAATGACCTTGTAGTAAGCTAAAAAAATGCATATGAGGCTAGATGTCTTCTATCTGATACTCAAAATCTTTTGCCTTTTTGGTTTCTATGCAAATATTGTATCTTCATTTTCCTCTTCTTTGTTCCCATCTTTTTAAGGTGTCCTCGTGAATAGTATTTTAAACAGTATTAAACAAGCTGCCAATTCTACAAAACAAAGAAAAATGGAGGTCTACTCTGCAGTGAGTATTTTCATCTTTCATAAATCTTACTACAATTTTATCAGTAAAAGACCCTTAAAAGAACAGTCAGAGTCTTCCTGTAGGTTAAATGGAAGAATAATATAATACAGCTTAATTTAGCTAACAAGCTGAACACCAGCCAGTACAAGAACACAGCAGGAGCACAGATATCACCTCAGCTGCAAACTGTACCTGGTAAAGAAAACTGTATCTTTTATCATCCATTTTTTCTTCAACTTAATGGAACAGTTTCTATAAGTTACATCTTACAGGTGCTGGCACGCAGCAGAACTTCAGTGGCACCTCCAAATCCTTCCTCTGCTTAGAATGGGATGATACAGCTGGGGATTCTTTTTTTATTGGTTTTTGAGGATGAAGAGGGGCACATGGGTCAGAGCAGGCTCTGCTTAGCCCATTCATTACCTGTCTCTAACGATGGCCAGCAGCAGGGACGAGTGTGAGAACAATGCCAGCACAGAGTCGTGCTTCCCCTGCACAAGCTCCCAGCAGCCTGTGGCATAGGGACTTCCTGGCTCTGTGCATTTAATAGCTCCTGACAGACTTTCTTCCATCACTTTATTTAATCATTTCTTAAATGCATTTATACTTCTGGCCTCTGCAGCATCCTGTGGCAATGACTTGTTAAAAGAAAAAAAGTACTTCCTTATTTTTACAGAAACTTAATCCTGATTTAGCTCCTTCCTAGGATTTCTGTTGTGAGAAACAGGGAAAAGTCATTCTTTAGTCGCTGTTCCTGGGTCACTCATGAACTGCCTGCTTTCTGTCACACCTCATCCATCCTTATCTTCCAAGACAGAGTCCTTCCCTATTTAGTCTTTCCTCACATATAACCCTCTCAATACCTTAAATATTTCTTGCTTCCTTTTCTATGTGTTTTCTAGCCCTACAAAATTCTTTTGGAAAAGGAAGAAGTGCATCCAGAATTCTCACTGCTGCTTTAATGCCTTGAGGCCAAGTATACTCTTATTTTTGAAACTCATCAGTCTAAAAAGTTCCAGATCCTGAATAATAATGAAAATGTAGCTGGCAGACTATAACATAAATAACCCTAGCAAATAGGTACATAAAGATGTTTGCAAAATTTAGGCATCAAGGTGTTTGGCCTTCCTTCCTTCTGGGGTACCCTGCAGGAGAAGGGATGATGGGAGAGGAAGAGACTGCAGGTGCATGGGCAACTGATTCCATCAAAACAGAAGCCAAACTGAGATTTTATTGTGTCAGTCCAAACAGAAGGAACAGTAATTTTAAAAGTTCTGGGGTGAGCGTGGAGGTGAGGAGAACAGTCTTTATAGGCAACTATTTGTCTGCTATACCATCTAAAAGTCCTTGTACCTTCACCTGGACTGCCCCAGGATATACTGCCTTAAGCTGACCTCGGAACCAAAAACGCTCCTGAAGGAGTGAGCAGCAAAATGCACAGAAAAACTAGATTTAATTACTCAGACCACATCTTGCTTTCCCCCAGTATCTCTGTCTCCAAAATATTGCCAGATGGTGTAAGACACACACTGCAGTAACTCTTTGGAAATGTCCCTTGCTGTCTGTAGTAATCCATTAACATGTTTTTCCCAAAAATGAATTACTGAATATATCTTTATGGTCAAATTACAGAGGTTCTGTTTTATCTTGATTGCCACTCCTTCTCCACACTTGTCTCATTACTCTGGGTAAATGGTAGTTGCCTTAACTGACCTTCAGGGATGGATCTTCTTTTATTTTTCCCCAACAGCATGACACCACACTTGGGGCTGTCCAGATTGCTCTCAATATTTTCAATGGAAAACTGCCTCCATATGCTGCTTGCCAGTTTTTTGAGCTCTACCAAGAAAGCAGTGGGCAAGTATCTTTTTATCTATTTCAAGGATGAGGGGTGTTTGGAATTTGCTTCCTCCTTCCCCTAGATCATTTTCCTTTCACATACTGTGAGGAGATAGATACAAATCTGTTTTAAACTGATTCTTCACTGAGCAGTGCACAGGCACAAAGTTATATCAAAATGAGGGAAAATTACTTTTGTTGGATGGGCCTGTACCTCTGTGCTTTGAAAGACAGTGGGAAGAGGAAAACAGGCTTTACCAGATGGAAGTAAATGGTAGAACAGATCTTCCCAATTATTCAAATGATGGCAACAACATTTCCAAGACATCTCAGGAATCCCAAGGTAAACCAGCTGGCTTAGCAGAGCCTGGTGCTGTTGCCATTCAAGGAGCCTTCAGAAGGACCTTCTGAGCTGACTGGTGATCTGTGCAGCCATGTAACCAGCTTTGGCAAAGGGGGCTGGCTTTGTAGATGTCTTTAACAAACCCTCCACTCTTGAAGAACAGCTTCTAAAGTAGGATGCTAGAGCCTATTTCCAACATTCTGTCTCTGAAGAAGAAACCTTCTATTTAAGAACGTTTCCCAAAAAGTCTTTTCTTTGTTGTTGACCAGGAGCTATAGCATTGAAATGCATTATCGGAACGACTCTTCAGAGGATCCTTACCTGCTCACTCTGCCAGGCTGCACCTCCTCCTGTCCACTTGAGAAGTTTGCTGAACTAGTTTCTCCTGTGATTACAGACAATTGGTCGAAAGAATGTGGAAAGAAAGACAGAACAAAAGGTAGGGTAACGGGTCTGCATTTCCTACGTAAGACACGGAGGCAGAAGTTGTATCAACAGCTTCAAGCTTTGCCCCTTCCTCACAACAGGCAGATCTGCCTCTAACGGGCAGGGAGGTTCCCCTCGGACATATTTGTGATTTGGCTGTTCTCTCTGTATCCAAAAGGATACACATGCATGTCTTTCACTGACCCCCTTCTCTTTTGCTGTTTCTCCCTCTCAGATATTTTTATGGGGTTCGACGTTGCCGTTGGCTTGTTGTGCATCTTCAACCTGGTGCTGCTCTACCTCCTCTATCACTACGGGCGCTGCAGGCGCAGGAACAGCTACCAAGACATTTAAAGGAGAGGCAAAGGAATGAAAGAGAGAGCAGAGACATCAAGCAATCCTTTCAGTGGCTCATCTGCATCAGTTTGCTCTGGCCAAATTAATCTCCAAGGCATGTTCAATGAACTTGAGGAGCTGAGGTATCTGCGGCCTAGCTCCTGGAAGACTGAACACCTGCAGTGAGAAATTCTGCAGAAATACCTTATTGTTAAGAATTCACTTTTCTAGGAAGACAAAAAGACTCCAGTTTCTATCTTTATGTTTTCAACTACTATTAAACCCTCTTAAGTCAGCTGGTGGGGTGAAGGAATGCTGTCTCCTATGCTTTCTTTTTATATTGCCTTTTAACATTCAGCCCTCTGCATCTCTCTTACTCTGCTCAATGAGTCTTCCTGGAAAATCACAGTCTGTAATATCTTCCTTACCTCTTATAAATGGCTACTTTGTTGATGCACGGGGAAATGTTTTCAGTGAGCAGAAGCTGCCATTATTGTGTGAAAAAGACTCATATCAGCACTTGGACATGACATTTCTGCATGTGTTCATGCAAAGTTTTGACCTTGGCTTTCAAACTAATAAAAGTCTGCAGCCTGCTCTTCAAAGGAGTTACAGTACTACAGCCCTCACTGAAACCAGCAGAAACTGAGGGGAGCTCTGTCACATATCCAGGCATTGAGCAAGAAGCTTAGTGCAACAGGGTCTTGCTCAGCATCCACAACTTCAGTAATATGGATAAGTCAGTACATTAAAACCTGTCTTCTGTTGCTACAAGCTTTCCTGTTTTTCTGAGCTCCCAGTCATGAGCAATCCTTTGCCTTGCATCTTTTGTGTAATGCATCTGTTCTGTGCCCTGCTTCAGGTCCCTTCTGTTATCCTATTTTTTGAGCCACTCTTACAGTATTTCCTCAAGTGATCACTGTGATTGCAACTAGGAGTTCTGATCCTTGGTGCAAAACCTGAAAGGAACATCTGTATTGCAGTCCAAAGTGTCACAGCAGCTCTAGGAAACAAGCCTGAGCTGCTCTGGGCACTATTAGCAGGGGACTCAGAGCAGAGAAAAGCTCAGGACAAAGTGCAAACCTGAGCCTGGCTCCCCAGCAGATCTATCTATGCAGCAGCTGTCTGGTGCTGAGCTCTGTGCTACCACAGCCAGAGTGCTGCTGCACCTCCCCTGGGGACAGACTATGTCTGCTACTAGAGGCAGTCAGATGCTTGGCAAGTGAAGATGTATTGTTGGCTGACAATGGGCAGTAAGAACTGCTTTTGAGATACATTGTGATTGTGCTCCACAAGAAGTAGAACGGGGAATGTTTTTTTTCCAAGACTGTTTCTTGCAAACAGCAGTACATCCAGGCAGAAAGTAACATGTGACGTGTCTGAGACATCATTTGTGGGATATGCTACTCAAGCCTAAGCTGTTACAGAGAATTTCATGAGATGAGGCAATTCTGGCTGCAGCAGGAGCTGTCATGAAGTAATTTTACAGTAGGGACACCTTTTTGTTAACAGATTGTCGCACTTGAAAATGTCCATGCACTTTTACAAAGGACCCAGTGAACACAAGTCAGCCAGGATGTAATGGGCAGATTCAGATAATGCAACTTCAGAATTAAGAGAGGCACAACAAGGATGTAATGTAAGACATTAGTAACACAGGGCCTGAATCTCACCTCCAGTAAAGATGCTTTGTCTTGCTCTGATGAGATCCAGTGAAATTTCTCCAGTGGAGTAACAGGTTGTAAATGTCAGAGAAGCTTCTGGCTTTTTAAATTTTTTTCAGCCATATTTACAATTTGCTTAGTATCATCTGCAGACTGTGATGAGAAAATCCCTTGTCTCCCAGCAACTCGTAGCACTGCAATAAAGTACATTAAAGAAGCAAATCCACTTTTGCAATTGTATCTGTGTGAAAAATAACAGAGCTCCCAGTATGCCTGGAGTTTCCAAACAGAAGTGAACGTTCAGTTTTGCTCCCTCTGCAAGGACAGATTCTGAAAGCACTGGTGCTCTGCCATGACTGCTGCTGACCCTGATGACTGGAATGGAGCGGCCAGCACAGCGGGCAGAGCCCCGGCGGGCAGCACCACGGCACAGACAGGACAGGACAGGGAGGGAAGGAGGGAGGGACAGTCTGGGGGGCACCACAAGCTTCCCCTGTGACAGAGCACGTGAAACAAAAGCTATGGGACAAGGTTTTTCCCTGAGTGCATTAATTATTAGCAGCAGGGCACTGTGGAAACCTCTCACGGTGAATTTAAGCTGGAATAAAACCTGCTAAATACAGGGAGATTTTTTTCCCTCCCAGGGAAGGGTAAGCATGAAGAAAATCTTTGCCCAAAGCCTGGATTGCAGCTTTTTTGGTACTGTACAGAAGGTATTTTAATGGGATGGTCTGCTGTGTGGAGAATACTTCAGACATGTCAATTATGAGACACGTGTAGAGAGCAGTGGAGGCTTTGATTTACCTGTTGACATCTTCAGATATAATAAACCCTGTGCTAAACTCTGGGTTAAAAAAACCTCCTTGAGGTATCTGGAGTTCAGAGGGATTTGTGAGCAGTGAGTGAAGTACAGGCAGGCTGTTGTGCAGGAGAGCAGGGACAGCCTGGACAGCAGGCACTCCCCCAAAGCAAGGTCAAGGTCACCCCACTGCTGTGGGCAGGGTGAGCTGCCACTCTCACTTGAGGCACTGATAACACAGGGGGCACAGGCACAGCACCCTCCCTCCTGGCAAGTCCTCTCCACAGCGTCCCTGCCAGGCCTGACCAAAGCAGGCAGTCTGCTAGAACCCAGGAGTCCCTCCACCTTTACATCACCTTTACCACAGCTCTGTGGGCATGAGGAAAAGCTCCAGTCCCAACTTCCTCCTGATTCCTGGGAGCAGTCTGCCACCTACTGCCCGTGTAAGCTCTCCGTGTTTGCAGCCTGCCACCTAAACTGTGGGGAAGGTGTTTGAAATGGGATTCAGCCCACTTTGGTGTGTCACGATCCAGAGCCAAACTCGATTGTTAAAAGGCCAGTTCTGCCCTTCCAGAACTGACTTTTTTTTAAAGGAGTAGAAAAGAGTTTGTTAACAATTTTCTTCTAGATTATGTACAGAGGAAGCTGGCAGGTAGGTTGGGGTCAAGTGAATGGATATTGCTGCCTCAGAAAATAAGACTTCACCATACACTTGGTTCAGGTGTTAGTAATTTTTTTCACAGGTACAAACTCCTATTCAGTCATATCCAACAGCTGAACTGCAGAGGATGATTATATTTTTCTGACCTTCTGTTATTCTCTGTCCATAGCAGTAAAAGGAAAGTATCTTAAGTCAAACTGCTTAATTTCTGTACTCGGCCAACAGAACAGAAGCCAGAAAGGGGAGAAGGTGAGATAAGTGTCTTCAGTCAGTCCAGCTGTTGATTGCAGGCTTAGCTTTGTGCTCAGCCTCTGTGCCAACCACAGACTTCCCACTGGTATTTTCTTATTTCTTGTTGATGATGATGATAAACCCACCCCATCATATCTGGCTACTCAACGTGACACTGGGAATTTCAGCTGGGTATTTTTCAACATTCTGTCATCTGAAGTCAAATGCTGTTGCCACACACAGATGCAGGCTTCCCATCAGAGGTCAATGAAAGACTTGTTCTATGAACAGATGTTTCTGGCCTAGAAAGCTTGAAACTTTGTAGTTCTCTAATTCTGGGGAAATCTAGAACATAAAAATTCTTTTGAAACTAAGCTCTCAATGGATACACCTGCAGTAATTTGAGAAACGTCTCATGGCAAGGAAATTCCCACCCCCAAGATTCAAGATATTACCCTAGAGTCACTAATGAAAATTATTATGATTACTTGTTGCAACAAATTTATGCAGCTTCTAGTACTAGTAACCACTGCAAAACAGGCATTTCTTGAGGCATTCACCTCTCCTGCACAGTTCCACTGACTCTGACAGCTCACACTGAGAGTGCCTGCACACACAAAGGCTTGCAGAGGAACCTCCTCCCAGCTGGGCATCAGCAGTTCAAACAAAGAACTAGGAAGAGGAAAACATCCCAAGTTTTGGGGTGGGGGTATTAGGTCTTTCTCAGAAGCTGAGAGGAGGAAATAAATTCCTTCTAGAGAGAAAAAAACCCAAAACACAACAAAACAGTAATATTCTGCACTGGGATGCCTGAAGCCAACAGCTGTGAGGAGCTGAATGAGAAAGGAGACAGCCTCTTGTGTGATGAGCTTGTTACAAGTCAGAACACTGTCAAACCCAGCTTCAGTTTTTTAGTTTTGCTTTTAATCAGCAAAGCCCATACTGCACTGCTGCTCACTGGTTGAACTGAAATGAATTTAGGGCCATGACTGAACAGTTTGTCTTTTATCTGCCAAGTGCCGAGTCATCACTCAGCGCTTCTGTCAAAAGCTCTATTAGTATTACTAAAAAAAAGAGCACACCAGATCTCTAAGCACTGGTCAGAGAGAAAAACACAACTGTTAAAGAATTTATCAAATAACGAATTAATTCATATAATCCAAACCTGTCTCATTAGTATAATAAAAGAACAATTGAATGTTTTCCAGAAATAGAGGTGTAAATAGCAATACTTTCAAGTTTCTTTTCTTATACACCTCTCTGCCTTATACTAAAAATGGGACAGCAGAAGTACAGGGAAATTTGGCCCCAAACCCCAAGCATTAATAGTATCTTCACAAACTAGCACTAAACAAGATTATGTAAGTATCCATATGCTTATGCTTAAAAACAACAGCAGATGCCTTATCCACCATCTGACGGTCACGATCTGTGTCAAAGCAAAGCAAAAGGAGTGGGAAGGTGACATGGCTGAGGGACTGCCTGAAATGGATGCTAGGAGTGCTGCTACCTTGCTGTGGGCATTTCTGCCTTGCCTGTTGTGCCCTCCCAGACTCCCCTACTTCTGTTGCTGTTCATTCGGCCAGGGGGCCCAGCCATCTGATCAGAGACAATATTAAGGATACTAAAGGCAAAATACATTTACACTTCTGAAAGCTGAAAT